TGCTTTTCATATGCATCAGCTGGCCGACATTTTCTACATGTTGCACAGCACAGACCCGGCATGTGATTACTGTGGTGCATACTTGCACACTGATGTCAATTCAGATGATCTTGATCTGATGGTGCGGGAGCATTTGAAGGAGTGTCCAATGATGATGCAGATTGCAGTCTTGCTCAGCCAACCCATGTGGGAACGTGAATTCACTTCTGAAGTGAACTGGCCGACACAAGAGGTGCTGCTGGAGACCCATCGCAAGAGGGCCAATCGTCGCTGGCAGTTCCAGGCTCCACTCTCAGAACCTGCAGACTGCTCCTTGATGATGTTAGCCAACTGTGCCAAACACTACTTGGATGATGAATGGATGGTCCAATACATGACATATGGATGCTTGGTTTGTGGACGGCAATTTTTCAGCAGAAGCCTGTTTTTGTCTCATCTTATGGATGTGCACAATTATCACCAATATCTGACAGAGAAATTGCACCACCTGCTATTGATGCTGCAGACGGCCAAAACCTGCCCATATTGCGGCTCAACTTCACATGCCAGTGCTGTGGGCAAGAGGTGCATCGCAATTTTCAACTTAGCCACCGCTCTGTGCAATGGCTGGACCATCAGACGAGATGGGAGAGCTGAACATGGATCAGGCATCCTCAATCTGGAAGAATGTCCTCAATCCTGCTCAACTCAAGCAGCTTGGCCTTGGAGACGGAAACAAAGAAAACAAGGATCCAGCTCAGACAGAGCGCATGGCCAAAAGGCACAGGGGGGACAAAGCCAAGCAGATGCCGGTTCAACCCAAGGGCCACAATCAGGAGTTGCTTCACCTCATGGGGAAATTGATCCTGAGGCAGGAGGACACGTTGAACTCCCTCCTGACGGAACATCAATTCCTGGTCCACGTCAACATTGGCAATGGGAGCATAATCCCGGATCTCATCCAAGTCACACAGGCATGGAAATCGGGTCAAAGCTCCTCCAAGGATCCACTGAGACACCAGCTCGCGCTGACAATGATGACGGCGCTGCGGGACAGGGTTCACAAACTGAGCCAGTCTCAGACCCAAGACGATGTGGTCAAGGAATGTTGGCGCCTCCACATTCTGGACCGGAACATGGAGATGCCATACCTGAAGTGGAATCCTCAGGCCCAATGTCTGGAACCGACGGCCGACAAATGCCTGCCAGTCCCGGAGGTGCTGAAACACCTGGAAGGAATGATTCGACTGATGGCCGACAGTGCCACCACAGTGAGGTTCCACTCGATGCGGCGCATGGCAGACACGCCGACAAAGGCAACACCGTGGTTATGGACGGTGTCATCACGGACCAGTCCGGAACTGTGGCATCAAATCAAATTTCTGACTTTTCACTCATGCTGGCAGCTTGTGCAATGCAGGGTGAAGTGCCACAGCATGCAACGTTCAGCACTAGCTCAGCAATTGAGCAAACTGGTATGAAGCCGCGACTGGTACGGCTGTTGCTCAATCCTTCTCGTACCTTGTGCTATGCCAATGCAGCTTTGCAGTGCTTGGCTTGGGTGAGTATCCTTTGTTCCAAAGTCATTGAGGCTGCTTGGAAGCACAACTATGGATTGATTGATGCACTGACCAAATGGACACCAGTGCCGCTTACGTTGTATGACTTTGCACCCTTCCAGGACCTTTTCAATGGGGGAGATTGGGGCTTACGTGAAAAAGATCGCCAGAATGATCTGAATGACTTCACGTCTCACATTTTGATGCTGATGGCACCGCAATTTGTGAACAATTTCTGGTTACCGCAGCCTGCCCTTTTGCCTGGTTTGGAGGGCACAGGGCTACAGGATGAAAAAGGACATGTCCTGCAACCCATCACTTTGCCCTTGCACAACACATTGACACCTTGCAGTCTTTCTGATTTGATCCAATCTTGGCACGACCCCTCAGGTCTTTGTCGAACATTTGTCGAGGCCCCAATAGCCTGCTGCTTTGCGATTGACCGAAACTTGCCACCTCACAATATCAAAAATATGCAACCAGTGGATTTGCGTGATGGACTGTTGAAACTTCCTTTCCTCAATACTGATTTACAGATTTGTTGGAAGACATACAGAATCATTGCAATTGCCTTCCACATTGGCAAACATTCAGCAAGTGGACATTGGCGTGCTGCGTTGTATCATCAGTGCAAGTGGTTTGTTTATGACGACGGGAGACTGCCTGAACAGATGGATCAATTGCCTTCAGAAATTCATCAACAAGTGAGTCAGATATGGATGGTTGACAACTGCCTTGACAGGACACCTCTGGCGGCTCATGCGGCTACGCCTTCTGCAAGCTCGTGACTGCAGCTGCTGGGCAGAGTGGACCGCCGGGCAGAGTGGTGCAAAGTGGATTGCTGGGCAGAGTGGTGACCTCCGGCTGCTGCCACTACGGTTGCCTTCTGAAGCTGCGGCTGAGAGGGGCTTTTAGGGCACAGGTTGGCTATTGGCTTCCCGGTGTCCTGAATGTTGTAGCAACTTCTCACCCCTTTCTTTCGAGACATTCCATTGGTATTTACCTGGAATCAATCCTTTAGCTTCTTCTCACACAGTTGCATGTTTCCTTAGGGATTTCTTTAGGTTTCAACCATTTAGATACGGCTGCTCATATTGAGTTTTTGGCTGTATTAATTAATTTCAGTAGCCTACGGGCTGGCGCATAGCTCTTAAGACCTCCAACATGGACATGTATGAGGAGGCCGTGGCAACAATCCACGAGAGGCTTGCTTACCGACTTGAAAGGGTCGTGGGGTCGCAAAAAACACACACACACAAGCCCCTCTGCACCCACGAGAGGTGCGCTCAAGTGTTCTGCATCAGCGCAGACGGGCGCCCCACGGATTGCGTTTTGACTTGTAGTGCCATTTTTGCTGCCGCCATTCTTGCCATCCACTTTTGATTGATTGCGACTGCTGTATCTGGGCTTGCTGTGACCATTTTTATTTAATTTTCTGTGGCAACCACGACGAATTTCTTCATTTGTTTCTGGTTGACAGCTGTCCCTGTGATCAACCAACTGACCTGTGACTCCTTCATTGCGATCACCATTGGAAACACTGACCTGATTGCAGCACACTGTGGGGTTGGCTCCTAAAACGACGCTTCTGGCCTAGCTGCTTTCAGGACATCACAGAACAGTTGGCCATTTTTACCAAGGGACTTCACAGTGCGACGGCATTTCAAATACAGCCTGGCATCAACTCAATTTTCAGATATTTTGCAGACACACATCACTGGGGTCGGCTCCCATCACCTGACTGGCCGTGATTTTGATTTGACGGAATTGCTTCATTTAATTTCAGATCCTATTGCTGCAGACCTGAAAGCTGACTCTTCTACAGTGACGGAACGGAATCCAGTGCTCCACAGGGAACACAGTTTTGCAGCGACAGCGTTCAGGACCACTGGCAGGCACACTGGGGTCGGCTCCCACACACTGACTGGCCGTAACATTCATTTTGCAGCTTTATACATCTTTATTGCCTTTTGGGACATTGGGGTCGGCTCCCATTCACTGACTGGCCGCAATTTTGGATTTTTCAGTGAGCACCATCTTGCAAATACAGATATTAATTTTGTTGAAGGCATCACTGGGGTAGGCTCCCATCTTCTGACTGGCCGTGCAACGTGCTTTACAATTTTTGATCTATTTGCAGGTGCTGTACATTTTGGGGTCGGCTCCCTTTTTCTGACTGGCCGGATATCCTGTGCTACAGTTTTTGATCATTTCACAAGTGCAGCAGACAGCACTGGGGTCGGCTCCCATTTTCTGACTGGCCGTGATTGTGAGACAATTGCAGTTTCCAACAACTTCTCAGGGGTGGGCTCCCTTTTTGAATGTCCCATTTCTAATTTCTGGCCCTCAGAGACACCAAACCCATACAGCAAGAACAGTATTTATTGGGGTGGGCTCCCTTTTCCGATTCCCTGGCCCGAAGACAATTCAACACACACTGACTGGAGAACAGACAGATTCGATATTTGGCAATTTTTTGCGGCTTTATTTGCATTTGGGTTCTTTTCTCTCCTGCTGGCTAAAGCTGCCCTTGAGGGACAACAACCACATTGGTATTGGCACAAAATTTCGACGACATTCCTGGGGCAAACGTTTTGGACACAAAGCGCCACAAGGAATTGCCATCATTGCAGGTCTGGTCCCAAATCCAGACACAGTTTTGCCTACAGACTCACCGGGATTGGCTTGTTGCTTCTTCTCGGGATGACAGACATTCACAACACCAGATGGCAGAACTGCTGGGGCGAGGGTTGTGACCCTTCCATGGGGGTCACTGAAGTCTTTGACAATGCAACAACATGGACTTGGCCAAGGACGAAGCAACATGGACAGCAGCCTCAAATGTGCAACCGCACCCAATTGGGGCCTGATTTTGCAAATCGAAAATCCAAGGTTGAAAAGAGAAGCATACAAAGGGCATATCGCAGATCACTCCGACTGGGCTCAGCGTGGTATCGAGGACAGCACTACAGCTCCACTGACTTTGAACGCATGGGATGTAGACCCAACAACACGCCTGTGGCACATACTCCAATTTCTCCGGGCTTGCAACATGATTGGGAACAGTGCCACAAACATCACTCAGCCAAGAAACGAATTCAATTTTGGCAGTGGAATTGCGGTGGCCTTGCGATTCCGAAATTGGACGAGGTGAAGGCATGGCTCACCATGAATCACATTGACGTAGCCATTTTGGTTGAGACTCGCATGCAGTTTGATTCAGAATGGAGTGACGCTACATGGAATATACTCCACTCAGGTGAGGGCCCCAACCGTGGGAAGGGGATCATGATTCTCATCTCCAAAAGACTGTGCAGAAGCTCCCAAATCAAGTGGCAAAATCATGTGGGTGGTAGATTAGTACATGTGCGGCTTAATCTTCCCACAAGACCGCTGGATGTTGTGGCCTGTTATCAACACACCTTCCAACCAAATCAATCATGCTTGCACAATCGTGACATCATGTGGACCAAGATAGACAATGTTCTACAAGGGATTCCCAATCGCAATGGACTAATTCTTTTGGGAGACTTCAACAGTGCCCTCCAACAAACACATGGACTCATTGGCCATGGAACTTTTCACTGGAAAGGGAAGGAAACCACTGGACGCATCCATAGTGATCATGGAAGGTTCCTGAACATCTTGCGTGGACATGCCCTAGTTGTCCTGAATTCCTGGGACAAGACACTAGGTCCTACGTACGTGCACGGAGACCAAGCCAGCCGGCTGGACTATGCATGCGTGAGGCAGCCCTTTGCTGACTCACTGGCCAAGCAAGTGCGTTATTTGTGGCAATCCCCTTTCATTCAGCAGACCACGCATGGGCATGTTCCGATTTTGTGCAGCATTGCTAGGCATTGGATTCCTGAAAACCGCCAGACCAGCATCCAGCAGGTCACCATGCAGCAAAGACAGGCTGGACGCCTGGCCTACCTTGCACAAACGCCGGAATGGCAAGTTTTTACGCAGCAATCACAACAATGCCTTAATCAGCATCTTGGAGATTTCACTGCAGATGTGGATAACACCCTAGACCAGATGCACAAAGAAGTGATGCGGCTGTATTGCAAAGCTTTTCCCTCCGGCAAGGCTGCCCGAGCCACTCCTGCCTGGAAAGCCGCCTTGCCGACGATCCTCAACAAATGGGATCACAGGAGACAAATTTTGCGGCCACGTGCATGCTCCACACGCAACATTTTTCATGCTTGGTTTCATGTAGCCCGTTTTTGCCAACTCAGAAGGAGTCACCAGAAGCAAGCCAGATGCATCCGCCAAACTCAATTTGCAGAGGTGGTCCAAACAGCTGAGCAGGCAGCCAGACAGCATGATACCCATAAGCTATTTCAGGTGATCAATAGATTTGCCCCCAAACAACCACGCAAGCAAATCCAACTCCGTAATCATGCAGGTCACATGGCAACACCATTGGAGAGTGCTGCAATTGTGAACAAATTTGTTGCAGATACATGGCATGGCCCCCCTTGCATGAACCTGAAATTTGACCGACCACCAGGAGTTCCGTTCACAGTGGACCAGTTGGCGAAAGCCCTGAGCCTGATTCCGAGCACTCGAGCCACAGCCCGCCCGTTTGCTCCAGGGGTTGTTTGGCGTCAACATGCAAAATTTCTTGCACCACTCATACATGCCAGACTCAGGGAATGGTGGTCTTTTTCACCTCCAATCATACCAGCTAGCTGGAGACATGGATGGTTATTCCTCATCCCCAAACCCCTGAAACCTCCTGTTTCACCAGGTAATCTCCGCCCCCTGGCACTCCAGGAACCGGTAGGTAAGGCGATCATAGGTTTGCTAATCCACCTAGCCATGCAAGAGGCCAAACAGCACCTGACTTTATATCCTATTTGGGCATATCTGGAGAATCGATCAACGCTTGAGGCCATTAGAAGGGTCTGCTCTCATTGTGAACATGTGCGCAGATTGGTGAAAATGCATAGATCGACCCCACACACCAGAGCACAAGCACACCCCAGAAGTGGCCTTTATGGGGGATTGCAACTATGCTTGGACCTTCAACGGGCATTTGATTGTGTTGACAGATGTCGATTATTCTCCAAATTATCCCTTTTAGGTATCAATCCTGCCATCATCCAACTGCTGACCACCTGGCATGAACATATGATGTACATCGTGCAACATGACCACACAGAGAGCAGCATCCCCGTTGGCCGGGGTGTACGCCAAGGATGTAAGGCGGCGCCGGGTTTATGGTGCTTTTTCCTGGTGATTTTCTTTCATGAACTTCAGAAAGATGGTACGATTTCACTCCATTGGATCCAAGAGCACATCACCATTTACGCTGACGATTGTCACCTGGGTGCCTGTTTTTCCAATTTGGAGGAATTTCTTGAATTGCATAGGATCATTGGCATGGTTTTCTCCACGTTTTCTCTCATGGACATGCACATTAATCCTAACAAATCAGTGGCCATCATGGAGCTGAAAGGATCCCAAAGCGGCTGGATCAGACGCCAATTCATTTGCAAGAGACAAGATGCCGATTGCCTGAAAATCACAGCGCCTGAGTATTCAGATGTCCATATCCCAATTAGCCAGACTGCCAAATATCTCGGTGTAGTTATTTCATATGGCAATTTTGAAGCTGCCAGTGTGAAGCACCGCCTCAGCCTGACACGCATTGGATATCGACGCCTGCAGAAGTGGCTCACAGGCAAACACTGCCTGACAACGGCACAGCGGTATCGACTCTGGCAGACTTGCATTTATCCAATTTTCAGCTACGGTGTTTTTGCCATGTGCCTTCCTTCCAATTGCATTCACACAGCCATCACACAGCTGACATTGATGTTACGCAAATTGGCACATGACCACTCCTATATCACAAGACGCACAAATGAAGCAGCACTTGCATTTCACCGCTTGCCGTGCCCGACTCAATTGCTCCACGGCACTGCCGTTGGACTGCTGAGGACGGTCACTGCACGCCAACATGCATTGCTTCCACATGACATTGCGCATTCCATCCAGTGGTCTCATTTGCCGGAACTCATCAGTCGATTGGAAAGCATGCAGGCCACTGCATCCTTGGAGAGACTTGCCCCTCCCACGCTGGAGGCCAATCTGACCACTCCATTTTTCCAATGTGCCAAATGTGATTTTTGTACGGCTGATGTGAGTTCATTTAGAAGACATTGCACAACACACCACAACCATGCAACATACCGCACATGCTTTGCCAAACCAGCTGATTTTGCACTTGATGGATTGCCCACATGCAAGTTTTGCCACACAGAATTTACCACATGGAGAATGTTTGTTGCTCACATTGAACGTGGATGCCAGGCCATACACAGTGGACCCACGTCCTGCACCTTGGAGACGAGCCGTGCTGGTGCGGCCCTTGGCTCCATTGAGCCCATGCAATCCCAACTGGCAGATGCAGCAGCCAGAGGACTTCGATTGATCACAGATGCAGAGCTTCACAACCTGAAGCAACAAAGGTTTGGAGCCAATCTGCTGCAGATTGTGCAAGATCGAAACTGGGAACGTGTGGCAACAGACCAAGAGGCCTGCCAGTATCTTGCCTCCAGGTGCATCATTTGCTCCTTTCAGTTCTCACGATGTCAGGAACTTCATCAACACTACCGGCTCAACCATCCAGAGCTTTGGGAACACGCTCCACAGAAGGGTATCCAGCTCACCAACCTTTTCAGCACAGACAGCCCATGCACCTGTTGCGGAGCATTGTTTTTGACACATGTGCCCAACATGGTCTCAGATAGCAGTCTTGTTGGTGAATGGAGCTGGCGTGGACACATCTGACATTGAACCCATCACTGATGTTCGACAAAGGTGTGACCTTTGCTTGGAGTTCTTCAGCACACCAGCCAAGTTGGTGCAACACCTTCAAGAAGCTCATGGACTACAAGGCCTGGGGTTCAACGTCAGCAGGGATTCACTTGACAATCACACAGCTTGCGCGCACTGCGGAACTTTGTTCCAAACTATGGGGGGACTCAAGTCCCACATAGTACAGGGCCGGTGTCAGTTTTTCAACCCCCAGGCGGCGACAGAGACGATTGACATTGATCCCTTGTGGCGTGAGGCTTGCCTGGATGGGCGCTTTCTTGAAATTCTGAAACCTCCTGGCAATCGATTGCGCCTGACAGTGGTCTGTCAGGCCTGTGGGAAGGGCTGCAAGAGGGCAGCAGACTTATCACTGCACCTGCAAACGGCGCACGCCAGACTCTGGCGCCAATCCCAGAGATTGACGCAGGTACTTGTTGATATCTTTTATCAACAACAATGTTTCTGCAACCCGAGCACAGGCTTGAAACGGGGACACCACATTTGCCTGCCCTTTAGGCAACTGGCTATGTGCTTCCACCGGCTGGCTTGTGAGCCTTTTGCACCCACGGTGATCACTGACCAGACGCTGCAGGCCACTCTCTCAGACAAGCTCCCCAGATCAGACAGATACATCATAGAGCAAGCCTTGGTTCATCGGCAGTTCAAGACCCTGTGGCAGGAGACGGCGCCCTTGAAGCTGCTGCGGCAACAGTGCCTCTTCTGTGGCGCCAGACCACACACAGCAGACCTGGCACTCCATCTACGAGAGGAGCATGCATGCCAACATGCCTTCTTTTTGTTTTACATGGAACAGTTGCTGCCCAGCGTTCATGCGATGAATCCAGATGACTTTCAATGCCATTTGTGTGGTTTGATTTTCAACTTGCCTGCGCACATGTGCCCTGATGAGCCTTTACATGATCGAGCGGCCCTGGTGATTTCCCATCTGCGTGGCTCGTGCCCGGTGCTTATCCAACTGGCACTGCTGTTTGGCTCTCTGCTGAACGGTGCCACATTGCAGCATGGAACTTGCAGACACGGAGGCCACGACCCAGATCATGGCCAGCTTCGGAGCCCTGGCACCGTTGTTCCGAACGCAGGACAAGTCACTGAAACTGAGCCCCAATCCACGGCAGACCAAGGCCCGTCGAAAAGACGAACACTCCAGCCCAGACGAAGAGATGGATCAACTGCCAGACGGACCACACCAACCAACAATGCGACTGCTGAGCACTCTGGCTCAACTGGCACTACGACACGACCAGGAGTTGCAAAGCCTTCGAAAGATGGATCAATTCATTCTTTTTTTGAGCCCAGAACAGATGGGAGCTTTGCACATCATGATCCAAGAGACAGCCCAGTGGAAATCCCAGATGGAGGCCCAGAATCAGGGACACCTGATGCCACTGCGCCAACACCTCATGCTGGCACTGCTGAACTCACTGCGCACCAGAGCTGGCCAGATCGTGGAGAGCAAGGAGACGGATCAGCTCTACGAAATGTCTCTCAAGAAGGGGGTGATTCTTGCAGACCGCAGTTTCCCCTACCATCGTTGGGATCCTGCGACACAGAAACTGGTGCTGGACAAGAAACCTCCGATCTCCTACAAGAAGATGGAGCAGCACCTGGACGAACTTCAGGAGATGATGCAAGAGAAGGAATTGATTGCCCGCTTCCATGCCCTACGGGGGTTCAATGCATCCAGCCAGAACGCAGTACCCTGGCGCCTGCAGATTCACATGAGGAGGGACAGGGCTTACGAGCTCCTTTACCAGCTCTCTCACAACTCGGTGTGGATGGCAGTGGGGGCATCGATGAAACCTCACACCATGGGGCAATCACCTTTGGCCACGGCGCTTCAGGCAATGACACAGGAGCAGAAGACCAAACCCAAGGGCAAAGGCAAAGGCAAACACAAAGCCACCAAGCAGGAGCCCTGAGAGATTTCCTTCCTCTCGACGTGGTTGCTGCCATGATCCGAGGTGCTTGCAGCCTGATCTTGCGGAATGACAGCAACTGGTGCTATGCCAATGCCACCACATGCTGTTTGTATTGGACTCTCCTGAGCCTTGAATCACCTGAGAAGTTTTTATGGGGGCACATTGGATGGAACTGACAGCCTTCTTGACACGGCTGGACAACACGCCAGTCGCGCTGACCACGACGGCATGGTTTCAACAAATATTGTGCCAATGGGGACATGAGCATGGTCAGAGAGACTGTGCAGAATGCACACTTCAATTTCTGACACTGCTGCAGCCGGCAGCTTTTGACATGCGCTGGGAAAGAAGACTGGAAACGCGTGATGACATTGCTCACATTGACCATAATGATACATTCAATCCCATCACATTGACCATTTCAAATCAGATGCATGTTGATGGCACTGGAAACCTGACTGACATGATTTTCGCCTGGCATCAGGAGCATGACATGCGCGCTGCACTTCTGACTGCGCCACCGTGTCTTTGCCTGCACATCGATCGTTTTCATCAAGATCCAACAGGAGAGATCACGAAGAGTTCATGCGATCTGACACTGGAAGCTGAAGTTTTGCTGCCTGTTTTCACCAATGCTGGCATACAGGTTGACACAGTAGGATATATTCCAGTTGCTGGAGCTGCACACATGGGCTCGGACCTTGCGGGACATTGCCAATCCATCTTGCGTATGCAACCCACAGTTGTGACTCACATTGGACCAGCTGCCTGGATGCTCACCAATGATGATGCGCCACCACAACCAGTTTGGAAGCAGCCAGACTGGGTCAGGCAAAACTTGGTGATGATCTGGCTTGTTCGAACAGATTGCATGCGGCTGCCAACATATGTGACTCCTATGGCCACTTGTGCAAGCCCTGACATTGCCCAGCAGAATGATGACAGGCGCGCCACACTCACTGTGGATTGCGCGCCGATGGACACCTCAGTGCCTGCCATGCAACCAGAAGGTCCCTCCAATCTTGGACCACCTGATGCGAACGAAAAGAATGACACTCTGATGGCTGCCGCATCTGAGACCTTGCGACCATCGGAGACCAACCAAAATGCAGACTTGCTGACACTTCTGCAAGCACAGCAGGGCGTGGATGATGTATGACAGGTCACCCAAGATCCTTTTTTTCCAAGTGACCATTTCTTTTCACCATTTCCAACATTGGATTTTACCATCAGCAATTTCAGGCCTTGACAAGATTCCAATCTTTGGAACCAACGACACCAGACTCGTTGAAGGCTGGCACAGACCTTTGAGCTATGCAGAAAAGGCGTGTAGGAAAAACACACACACACACACACGAACGTTATTATGCCCCCCCCCACCCCCCCAACCACCCCCCCAAAATCCCCCCCCAAACCCCCCCCAAAACCCCTCCCCAACAACCCACCCCCCAAAACCCACCCCCAACAGACCCAGAAGCACCGCGCAAAAAATCCTGTATTTTTTGCGCAATGAAAAAGGGAGCAAAAAACAAAGCAAAAAGTAGGAAAAACGTGATACGCTGCGCGGTAACAGGGGGTCCGAGGGAATAACAAATAATAATAATAGTGATTATATATATATATATATTAATTCGTATCTATATATATATATATGTATATAATATTGACAACGAAGATAGGTGATGAGTGAAGCTGCGACTGCCTTATCCATCTTGTGTCCCTCAGGCGTTGGACTTCATGGAGCGTTGGTTTCAGGGCGAGGAGGACACCTGGTTGTAAAACAGTTGTGAAACACTTCACTCACAGATCTTCAGAGATCTTCAGAGATCTTCACACAGTTTGTTAAGAAAAAAACAACTAGTTAAACTTTGCTGACAGTGCTGCCTTTGTGCCTCCCCATTTTGCGCTTGCCATGTGGAAGTGATCGGAACTGCCGCTTTGCCAAGGCCGAAGGAGGGCTTCAGCGCTTGCCTCCACATGTGCGACAAGAATTGAGGCCGGTGACCCATATCCCAAAGGATGTCTCGAAGGATCCCGAAGGATCTCCCAAAGGATCTCCTGAAGGATCTCCCGAAATCGTGACGAATACTTCCAATTACTCTGCACGATCGTCAGATTTTTTTTTAACATCAGTTTAGTATGGCATAACCGGATCCATTGAGAACCAACGTGGTTCATATGCCACAAGACATTGATATGCGAGGAAAAAAACACCCTCTTAAGGATTCGTAAGGTAATGAACAAACTTTTCTCAAAAGGCCAAAGGCCGCCCAGGCACAAGTTTGCCAAGTAAAGTAAGTTGCAGTAAATGCGCACAATTTTGCTGCGTCGTTCGAATTCATATATGTGTGCAATTTTCGGATACTCAAATTAGTCAAATTGTATACAGACCTTTCCTGACAATCATAATGGACTGCTTTCAATTTTGCCAGGACGTTCTTCAACATCGCCATCAAGGCAAACTTTGTTGATGCATGTTTTGATATGTTTTGATGATATATTTGAAATTATTTGAATTGAGTCAATTGGTGGTGGAGTTTGATGACATCGATGACATCGATACTTTCAAATTGCAAGTGCTCATCTTGCAGCCGAAAGCAGGAAGCTGGGAACTCCGCAAACATGACGAAGAGCGTAGAATGGTGCCCAAGAACAAACATTCTCAGGTTGCTTACCTTCCTGCGATGCATTGCAACTTAGTTGCCCTCTTTCTATGCAATTATTTGTGTTTGTGTATATTCGGAACAAAGAAAAAGACCTGCTTTGTTTCTGCCTTCAACCCCACAAGGCCCCTAGTCTTTCTTAGCAACTGAGTGTCCATGGCCACACAACACGATATCTGGAAAGAGAAAGGACACCTTGATCCCAACAGAATCAGACAGGTCATCGATAATTCTACCAACAGCATGGGAAACAAAGTGACATTCTGTTTTTGCAAGTGTCGCCCCATACAAAGTCCTGCAGATATGATTTCAGGAAAGAGCATATGTCCACATTTGCATGTGACACCCCAAGTGACGAATGATCGCTTGAAACCACGGTGATGTTGAGCTCTTTTCTTTCACTGAAGGACCAGCAGGACCATACTCTCGCTTTCGCATTGAGGTACGAGCGCATGCGAGCTGCCAAGATTACGCCAAATGCAAGGCCAGCTGTATATTTCCAAATATCACGGGTACCACGGTAGACTAGGACCACACAAGAAGCCAAGAGAAGACTTATATAAAAGAAACCTGAGACCAGATGAGACCAGACCTGAAAGACAGTATGGAGGATGCTTGGAGTATACTGTAGACTCACTCGCTAAAGTATGGGTTGCTTTTCTTGAACGACACATTTTAGCTAACCTTGTGCAGGACCTTTGGCAAGCTCATTGCTTCAGCGGCAAAAGCTGGTCTCGCTTGCACCCCAGATTTTTACACACTTCATTTCGAAGCATCGATGCGATCGCAACGGAGCCGAATTGTGTACTGTACCACCCTACCAATTGTACCAATTGCCTGTTTGGATTCTTTTTATCATTTCCTGAAAGGTTGATGAAGCGGCGAGTTGGTTGGAAGCGATGGCAGACGAGGTGGGAGGGTGCAGGAGGACAGACAAGAACGGGAAGAGCACAAAGCAAATCAGGAGTAGGAGCAGTGTAAACTATGGACAAACCATCTGAGAACTTGAAATCCACACCGGCGTCTTGCCGGATGGTGGTAAATGGATATGCCGGTTTATTCCTTGGCCAGCAGGCTCCACGGAAAATCAAACATCTGTACCGAAAGGGAGCAGGAAGGAAAGCAGGAAGGAAAGAACGTGGCAAAAAGAAAGTGCGAGTCAATCCGCAGGTACCAGCAAAGTTGGATACGGCAGCAACCTCCTAGGGAGGAAAAACTGGAGCCGTCATAAAACAAAAAGGTCTCGCACTCCATGCATAGACAGTCAACAAGAGGAACAAAAGTATAAAATGACAAGGAAGTCTAAGGATCGGCTCTCGACTCCGCACGCATTTAACATGTTCAGCAAAATCCTTCAAGCAAGACGGCAGTGTCCACAGCCAGCTGGATGCACAGCCTTGGAGAAATTCTGCAGAGTTGAAACTGGGTTTGCGAAAACGATGCCGGCCTTTGATTGCTTGAAGCTATACTAGAATAGTGGGATGTATTGGGTCTTTTCTGAGCGCAAAGGCTCTTTGAAGACTCTCAGCTTGAAGATTGAGTTATCCAAGCTGAAGAGACTCCTGGGGCAGAGAGACATGTTGAGAGAGACACTGACCAAGAGATATGAGCTCACTATGCCACATCATCTTATGATAACCTATACAGCCTAATACAGTATCACATAATATATATATATATATATTGTATATATATATATTGTATGTATATATATACAGTATATATATATACAATATATATATATACAGTAAATATATACAATATATATATATATATTGTATATATATATATTGTGTATAAATACATATATACATTGTACATATATATATATATACATATTATGTACATATATTGTATATATATATAGTGTATATATATATATATGTTGTATACATATATATATATATATATACATATGTATATATATAGTATATTATATATATTATTATTATATACATTTCACATATATGTAATACATACATATTGTATATATATATATTGTATATATATATATTATATATATATATATGTATATTCTATATTTATATATTGTATACATGCATATATATAGAGTGTGTATATATATATATATTGTATATATATATTATATATATATGTATATTCTATATTTATATATTGTATACATGCATATATATATATATATTGTATATATATATTGTATATATATATTGTATATATATATATATTGTATATATATATATTGTATATATATATATATGTATATTCTATATTTGTATATTGTATACATGCATATATATATAGTGTATATATGTATATATATATATGTACATGAATAATATGGTATAAACTTGTTGTTGCCTTTGATTTTCTCTTGTATTCCTTTCTGCCATTCACAGAAATGTCATACAGATTGGCAGGGCCTCGAAGCTGGGATGGTGCCATACTGCTCGATGATCACAGCCTGTGCCAAGGACTTTCATGCTCCTGTCATTCTCTAAAGCTGTTTGATGCGATCTTCCTCGCAGTCATGGTGACTGTGCCCACTTCGTTTGGTGAACATATGACTTGAATCCAGCAAGCAATGTGACCATTGTCAGAACGCTAGATAAGCCTTAAATTTTGAAACTTTGCGAAGAAAAGCAGGGTTCCGTGCACGGGGCCCTACTATAGGCCAAGGATATTCCACGAGCGGAGCGCTGGTTTCAGCAAGCATTGCAGAGCGGACTCAAGCCAGACTTGCTAGGGGCTCAATGCAGTCTTTCAGGATCAGAATCCATCAACCCAGGTTCAATCTATGTATCCAACAGCCTGATAACACCCGTGGTAGTTTCACTTCTGGGGAGGACATGTCTAATTCTCCATTTGGAGTAGGACATAGCTTGTATTTGGCTAGTTCGTTTGTGGGGCGGCCTGTGGTCCAGGTGCAGGTACTCGACTTGCAAGTACAAAAAAATGCAGCATATACATGTACCAATGTAAATACTTGTAGACACAGTATGTGTATGTACCATCATACACAAACACAAACAACGTTTGCGGCGTACACGTGTGACTACGTATGTCACAGAGTGTATTTCTCAGGTTCGCATACCTTCTAAGGTCAAACAATTTCAAGAACGGAGCTGTTGCTTCTTTCGATACGAAAACTGTTGATGTGAGCTGTAGACTAAAGAAAAAGAAGGACGAAAGAAGCCCCTTTGTTTGATGTTGAACAGCCAAGGATGATGTATGGTCCAATCATAGATGGCTGGGCTGCCCTTGGTGATGGCGATGAAGCAGCAAAGTGGTTGTCTCAAGCTGAAGCAGAAGGCCTTGGAAAGAATAAAGATTCACAGAAGAAAGTGCACACATTTGAAATGTTTTTGGGACGCAAAAAACCATTCCAAAAGAATGTGGAACAAATGTGGAGCAAATGTGGAAGACCGAACATGGCAGGCATCGAACTCAACATGATCTTATACAATGCGCTTTCCTCAGTAAATTGTACGTGGTGTGGTCAGAAACCTACCTTTTTTCATGCACTTCTGGTGAAGGAGGGAGTGATGTTCTTGAAGCACACACACCCACACATTGAGTCACACAGTATGACACCGTGATGTCACACAGTGATGAGGCTGTCATCAAAGGCTATTGCCGTCAAGGCAAACTGGACGCTGCCAAAGAATGGTTGCAGCGTGCGAAGGCCTTCGTGTTGCGAACTTTTTTGCTTTGACGTTTCCACCACACCTTCGCTTTTGATATTTCGATTTGTTGCAACATGCAACACAGAAATCATCAGAAGGCCTTTGGCCTTGCCAAAACTGGCCTTTTGGCAAACGCTTCAAACTCAAGGCCTCTGGCAACAGCCCCGACCTGACCTCTTACAACACAGTCAGATGCTCGATGACTCGACAATTCACAAGGGACATTAAATGCGTAGTGGGCGTAGTGGGCGTAGTGGGCGTAGTGGGCGTAGTGGGCGTAGTGGGCGTAGTGGGCGTAGTGCAAGGTTTATGACATCATTTCGTGTGAGTTTGACACTTCAGCATCCAATCAGCAAGCTCAGTCAGCTCTGCAATATAGCTCACTAAGCTCCTGTTCATTCTTTGATGTGCTCCTCCACGATGTCTTCAAAACATGGAAAGCGATTGCGGCCTGTTGACCTTGGGTGAAGATAATGTGGACTTTCGACTTGGTGCAACGCATGGCCCATGTTGTGAAGTGCCACTCTATGTGAGCTCGTATTCCAAAAAGCTACTTTCCTGATTCTAGAAATTTTGCAGCGATTGCAACAATAGAGCCAAAGCACAAGTGAGTGATGGCCAAACACCTCTATGCTATGTTTTTTGGTTATACTACAGCTTGTTGGGAACTTACTCTTAGAAGTATATAGGATTCAAACCTCCTAGACAGAAATTATATAACCAACTGGCAGAAAGGGTTTTCCGGGGGTTTAGACTGCTGGACTTGCTCAGAAGCATGCCTTGCCGAGATCATCATTTTTTTTGCGGAGAAAGGCGACGAGAACGCTGCGAAGGCCTGGGTTCCACTGGCTGCCATGGTTTCAGACGGAGCCAGAAAGTGCCTGAGTTACACAGCACAGCTGACAGCATTTCTTGCTGTGTACCCTTTTGATCTTTTGGATGTCTGGGATTCCAGTTCGATTGGAGGGTAGGGAAAAAAGGAATGAAGGAAGAAAGGAAGAGAGGAGGGGCATATGGAAAGAATGAACAAAGGAAGCGGAATCTTCTATAGAGGCAGACGAGTCTCACATACCATCAGTGGTGGCTGAGTTTTGCATAGCTTTGCTGAGTATTGGACCACCAATACAGTGTGTATGATACATGGTATCCTATTGTACTTGGATCGGTGAGAATCGGTGTACAAACGGTACATTCGGCATCCCGTCAACAAAGGGCAGAAACTAGATTCATTGCAGTTGGTACGTCGCGGACTCTTCAGAAGCCAGAACTACGAACTTTCCAAATTAATGGAGCACAATTTACGAAGAAATGTGGGTGCTTTCAAATTCAAGGTTTTCAATGCCGTATAAATTTATCATCCACTAGTCACATTTGTTTCAACTACTGTACATGAACGGAAGATCACACAGAAGCCCCTGTGGGACAATTCCCCAAACAGTGTGTCCACACTACAGGGTTCTTACGGTAAGAGTTAAGGTCGGTGCTTGATCAGGGTGCTCTATCTGGCTTCCGGCATTTTTCCTGTAAATTCTCGCATAAAATGTTTTTTGTGACATGTCCATGTGCATTTCGACTGCGCAGGCTTGCACAAACTGTGCGGCCCGATCTTGGGGCGCTTTTGTGACTTGTCCTATGCGCGTTTCGATTGCACAGGCACGCCCGATCTTGGGGCGTGCAAGGTTTTCTGTAAATTCTCGCATAGAATGGCTTTTGTGACACGTCCATGCGCATTTCGACTGCGCAGGCTCGCACCCCTGTACTTTTTCGTAAAAAATGGCTCGTCAACGGTTCGTTTGATATGTCCAAGTACATTTCGACTGCGCAGGCTCGTGCTGAACTTCTGGCGTGGTGATGTCTTCTCTAAGAGGTCCTTGCATGCATGATTGTGAGACTAAATTGTCTCGTGACTCCCGCCGTGGATCATTGCCCGATTCAGAAACTATACTGTACACGATTTAGAAACTACGATTCAGAAACTACGATTCCGAAACTATTCCGCGAGATTCCGAAACTATTGCGTGCGATTAAGAAACTACGATTAGGAAACTATTACGTGCAATTCAGAAACTACCATTAGAAAACTATTGCGTGCGAATCAGAAACTACGATTAGGAAACCATTTCCTGCGATTCAGAAACTACGATTAGGAAACTATTTCCTGCGATTCAGAAACTACGATTAGGAAACTATTTCGTGCGATTCAGAAACTACGATTAGGAAACTGTCTCGTGCGATTAAGAAACTACGATTAGGAAATTAATTCGTGCCATTCAGAAACTACGATTCGGAAACTATTTCGCGCGATTCAGAAACTACGATTAGGAAACTATTTCGGGCGATTCAGAAGCTACGGTTCTAAAATCATGGACCACATGTTCATACTTACATTATACCACTTCAAAATTGCCACCCCCTGTGCCATATACATTTTCACGCCAGCGGACCGAAAACCGTGCTCGTAAAACGCACGCTTTTGTAAACGCACATTCGGAGGTCATGATGGGGGGAGGGGCATGTTAACGTTCCTTGTATTTCGTATGTTATATGTTGCTACGCTGCAGAGATCTCTGGTGTTGTTGCTACCGTGTGTGCACGAAGGGGTGGGGTGGGGCGGGGGGGCATGTTAACGTCCCTGCTACTTCGTACGTTATATGTTCCTATGCTGCTGAGATCTCTGGTGTTGTTGCTACAGTTTCCAAATCTGACCCCATAGTTTCCAAATCGTAGTTTCCGAATCCGCTGTTGTAGTTTCCAAATCACGTGCCTTAGTTTCCAAATCATAGTTTCCGAATCCTCCGTTTTGAGTTTCCGAATCTGATCTCATAGTTTCCAAATCATAGTTTCCAAATCATAGTTTCCAAATCCGCTGTTATAGTTTCCAAATCACGCGGTGGCCCCCGCCGTGGCCGCACATGGTCCCTGTCCAGGCGAATTCTACCGCAGCTTGTGTTGGGGCACGTAGCGTTTGACCCCAATTCGTCACATATCAATACTTATCACAAATCACTCTAGTTACTCGGATCTTCAGCGTCAAATGTGCCGCCTTTTTTTTTTCCAACAAGGCCATTAGTTTTAAAATCAGTCGGGTTCCATCGCTGGGGTTTGGGGCTTTGGATGGTTCTTCCTATATCGAAATTGACCCAGATGACGGCACGTTCTTCATCAGGTTTTAAGTGGGTTCCAACTAGGTTGCGGCAGCCCAGGGTTGACCAAGGTTCCAAGGTGTGAAGGAGATTTGCATTGTGTGTTTGTATGGTGCCGCGTCCGCAAGTGGATTGACGTAGTGACAGGCAGTCACAGTGCATATGCTGTGTGCAAGCGGTTTGAAGTTATTGAGCCTCACTCGTGTGTGGAAGGAGCTGTGTGCAAGAACGTTTTAGTTACGGTCAAATGTGGACAGGAAGTATGTTTTGACTTGTGCGATGCACATGTTAGCGGGGTAGGGTTGCGTGTGACCGTGATTTAGTTTATTTTGGGCCATTGTGAGTAGGGCAGGGTCAACAAGGATTCAAACATCTGCTCAGAGATGTGCTGGATTCTCCCCTAAGTTTTTGATTGTGTGTGTTTGAAAATGAGGTCTGGTAAAAACTTTGCTCATAATATGTGTTACAATTCCTAGTCTCTAAGCATTAGTTTGCGCCTGGCTATTTATGATTGAGTGAAGCCCCGCAGAGTTGCAGGGGGTAACTTTTCGTTCAGGCTCAAAGGTTTTGTTTTGAACATCTTCCTTGATCAGGAGTGGCTACACCAGATCTCTTCATCTGGCTTGAAGCCTGACTCTGCCTGGTTGCCCAACACAGCGACACAGGAGTGCCAGTTGAATTTGAACTTCAATCTGACCAGTATAGGCTGAATCAGCTGTGAAAACTGTCAAGGTCTCTTACAATTCCTTGATCAAGGCGGCAGTGGTAGCTGGCCACCTGCCCTGCCTGCAAAGTTTGTCCACGCTTGTCGCGCGGTTTGCTATTCATTTCCAAGCCTCCACTCATTTGCCGATGTTGTAACAGCTGCCATTGTTGTACAAGTATTTACAAGTATTTACAAGGATTTACAAGATTTTACAAGTATTTACACATGTTTACAAGTATTTACAAGTAGCGAAGGTGATGACATTTTCAGGGTTGAAAGAAGTCCAAGGTCTTCTGTGAGTTTCTCCGTGGTCCATTTGTTCCATCAGACTTGCCAGGCAAAGAGGCCAACCAAGTAGACCAGAACATGGGAATGATATGGAATGAGAATGTGAAGTATTGAAATCAGGTCCTTGATGCTCACACTGTTTGAGCCAGGGACCATACGAAAGACTACTTGGAAGAAATGGAGTCTCACAAGCTGAACCCCTCAGCATTGACATACGGAACTTTGGCGCGGAAACCTACAATTCGAAAAAAGATTGAAAGCTGAGGAGTCTGAGGAGTCACTGGATACCATGTGAATCCATGTGATTTGATGTTGGGGTGTGGCGCTTCCATGGGGAGGTGCTTTCAGAAAGCAACATGTAGAGGCATTTCACAGGAAGTCTCACGCAGATTTGCTATCAGCAACTTCGGATCTGCGACCTGAGGTCTCAGCCTATGCGGACTCCGGTGATGTCCAAAATGCCCAAAGGTGGTATGACAAGGCATAGCCAGCGTAGCTGGCATAGCTTGCATAGCCTTGTGCCTCCTTTCTTGTTGACATTTGTTACTATCTCAAGAAGGATTGCATCAGTCTGAACTTCGATTCTGCATTTCCATACATTCCGAATACATTCCCCAGCCAATCAGATCCAATCAGATCCAATCAGATCCAATCAGCGTGTCAGGCCCTCGCTGGAAGAGGCAAAAGCAATACTGTTCTGCTGGCCGTCCTTTTGAAGGCATATGTCAAGGCACTGCGCAGCACACCTTGTGCCGTTCTTGTGTCTCTTTTGTCTCTTTAGCCGTTTTGGTAAATTCTTGTATGTGTGTAGCGCAAGCACTGCAGGAATCTGCAGGATGCCTTAGTTTGCTTATTAGTATGCTTATTCCGCTCGGGCGGAGGTAGGCGATCTTGCTGGTGCGGAGAACTGCATCAAGAAAGCAGCTGAGGCTTTGGGGAAAGTGGGTCGGTCTGAGGATAACTGCTGCAGCTAACTGAAAGCTTCTCAGGTCTGCACCAATGAACCTGCCACTTTTGAAGTGCTACCAGAATTTCATTTTGATGTCAGTCGGCTCAGGCAGGTGTGGCCCCGAACCATGTTGTCTTGCACCTAACATCCGTTTGCATTCTCTCAACAGTTTTCTAGTGGATGGCAACAGGACAAGTATTCTTCAGCTCATCCAGGACTCGTGCTCAAAGAGTTTCTCAAAAACAAGGCCCTGGCCCCGGTGACTGAGCCTCCACCCAGGTCTTCACCACCATGATCAATGCCTATGCTGAGAGTGGTGATGTGGACAGTGCGCTCGTGGGGCGCTTGCTTTGGGTTTGCTTTGGGTTGGTCCACTTTGATTCGTGCATTCTCTCGCAAAGTAGAACAACTGGAAATTTTGGAAGTGTGGTATGGATTTCCAACAATTGCAGATGTAATGTGATTCCAAAACCTCCAGATAGGTTCTCGTGGCGTGACCAAGGAACAGTTCAGAAAAGCAAAGGAGCTTGGTCCTCAAGTTGTACACTTGTCCAAACGTTCATGAGTCGTTCTCCGAATGTTCCGGGAATTGCAATACTTGGTGTGTCTTTATGTGGCTTTGTGTTTGAGGCTGCAAAAACTTCTTTGTGCCAGGTTTACAAAATTTCCCATCTGCTCCACAAACTATTCACCTTTTTCATTTTCCACGCTGTCCACAGCGCATTTATCACAAGGGAGCCCAATATTCGGCTCAACATCTGGAGCTACAATGCTGGCATCTGAGCTTGTGACCAACAACGGCCTTTTCGATTAAGAGACTTGTCATTGAGGATTTGTCTTCGCACCCGTGTACAGAAAGTGAGTGAAGCAAACTCTCCCAAGAATCCCTGATCTCTTGACATACAAACCACATGTCTCCAAATATTTACAGACAAGTGCACCGATGTATCTTTAGAATTCAAAAATGTTTAAAAATCTTAGGCAATGATCAAAGCATGTGCAAAAGCTGGGGTGCAGGCCTTACATGCATGTGCAGGGTTGTCTTCAGCCCATAGAATCCACAGAAACTCGCAACTGACTGTTGGAGTGGCAATGACAGAAACGACACCGAGGATGTGCAGCGAGCAAAGGCACAGGGCTTCGGTCGAAAAGATAACACACCGCACACACCCACATTGTAGATGCTATTTGTTTCGATTTTGTTTCAATGGGATAGCTTACATAGGCGGTTCCACAAGAAGACAATACAGGACAGTCAACACACCTCGAACACCTTGGCTCCATATGGCTCCCTTGGCTTCAAGTTTTTTCCCCCTTGTCACGGAGAAAAAATGCTCTAGCCAGACCTGGTTCAAGATGGCCGAGAGCGACCGCTGCAGGCTGGACGACGAGCACAGTTGAACTCTTTTTGAATGCCAAACTTAATTAGTTACGTATAAGTTCTGTAAAAAGGTCAAGAAAGTGAATCTGGGTCTTTAAGATTTGCATGCCTCAGCTACTGACATTGGTGGAAGCTGGCCTTCACAATCATTTTTGTCAATTTTGGAGCAAGATGAAGACTCCTCATTCATTCTCCGCGTCGCTGTCAGCCAGAGTCTTGTTCCTATAGAGTCCTAGAGTGTACTGCCGCTGCCTGGGATGTAAAAATTCAATTTGTGCCTAAAGCACAGGTATAGATTGTATGGGTACGGATAAGAACAGGATAGAACAGGTATGGCTGATAAGAGTTATATAAGCTATCTACAGAATCCAAAGCCTTGGGGAAGATTGACCGTGTCAGCAACTAAGCGAGTCAGCAACCAAGAACGTCCGAGTCCGCAACCAAGAACGTCCGAGTCCGAGTCAGCAACTCCAGAAGCTGTCCGAGTCAGAAACCAAGAACGTCCGAGTCAGCAACCAACAACGTCCCAGTCCGAGTCAGCAACTAACGCTGTCCGAGTCAGCAACCAAGAACATGAGTCAGCAACCAAGAACGTCCGAGTCCGATTCAGCAACTAAAGCTGTCCGAGTCAGTAACTAAGAACGTCCGAGTCAGCAACCAAGAACGTCCGAGTCCGCAACTAAAACTGTCCGAGTCAGCAACTAAAGCGGTCCGAGTCAGCAACCAAGAACGTCCGAGTCCGCAACTAAAACTGTCCGAGTCAGCAACTAAAGCGGTCCGAGTCAGCAACCAAGAATGTGCGAGTCTGCAACTAAACCTGTCCGAGTCAGCAACTAAAACTGTCCGAGTCAGCAACTAAAGCTTTCCGAGTCAGCAACCAAGAACGTGCGAGCCTGCAACTAAAACAGTCTGAGTCAGCAACTAAAACTGTCCGAGTCAGCAACCAAGAACGTCCGAGTCAGCAACCAAGAACGTGCGAGTCCGCAACTAAAACTGTCCGAGTCAGCAACTAAGAGTGTGTCCCAGTCAGCCACTACCCGAGTCAACATTTATGACTGACGTCGACGTGTTTTGGGGCGGTTCGTGGTGGGTGAGGGGGCAATAACGTTCTTGCTACTAGTACTACGTTCTTTACTTTTGCGGCAGCTGAGGTGACATACGTGCTGCTATGCTCTGCATAGTGTCGTCTACATGAATGAGGATCTGATAAGAAAGCTAAACCCTAGATGTATAATGATGTACACACACATATATATATAGAAAATATTTCAATACACACGGCCTGCTTATCCGTTTATCGTAGTTGCCCTCTCAACTCTTTCTTACTTGCTCACTAACCTTTTCTTAGTTGCCCACCCAACCCTTTCTGAGCTGCCACTCAGCCCTTGCGTAGTTGCCCACTCAACCCTTTCTAGCTTGCTCACCAAAGTTTTTCTTGGCCCTTTCTTATTTGCCCACCCAATTTTTCTTTCTTGCCATTCTTGCTCACTTAATCCTTTCTTAGTTGCCGACTCAGCCTTTTCTAAGTTGCCCACTCAACCTCTTCTTACTTGGCCACACAATTTTTTCTTGCGGTCTCACCAAGCCCTTTCTAATCCCTCTCATAGTTTCCCTGCCCGTTCTTAGTTGCCGACTCAGCCCTTTCTTAGTTGCAGACTCATAGTTGCTGACTCAGCCCTTTTTGTTGCCGACTCAGACAGGTTTTTTAGTTGCCGACTCAGCCCGTTTTAGTTGCCGACGCCCGTGGCAAGCAGTCGGTCGCTGAAACCTGTCTCCGGAAGCCTTGTATGCGGTTGGTATGTGTTGCTCAGCACTTGCCAGGCCAGATGTATTCACATTCACTTTGAAGCTTGGCGGCAAGACGGCAAGACGGCAAGACCCTACAAAGTTGCGTTGTGAGTGATCTGAAGATATCTGAAGACTGGACTGGGACCCTGATTGGGACGATCCCAGCTGGATTCGGAGCTGTTGCAGACGCTGAGGATGATCTCTGCTTGTTCCAAAGCTGGACGTGTAGGAGAAGCGCGGAGATGGTTGGAGCCCCGCCTGGGTGACCTTTGTGACCTTTGTGACCTCAAGAGAGTGGGGTGAAGATCGGTGAAGCAGTTCTCCCGGTGTGAGTCTTGTGAAATCTGGCGAAATGTATTTTCATCAGACTTCCTCAGTAGATATTTGCGATTTCAAAAATCTCTGCGACAAATGCGGTCCAAACGAAACAGGCACTAGTTCTCGACACTGAAGCGATATGCAACAGCTGAGGCTTGAGAGACTAGTCTGGTTCCCAGTGTCAGAAAGAAGCACAGGACTTGAACTGGACTGAAAACTTTAGGACCGCGAACAGAGATGAACAGGAGAGGGATCCTTTCAATTATTACCACAAGTTCACGGGCACTGAGGAAAATGCTGGCGTGCAGCCAAATGTTGTGCCTTACACTCTGGCAATTTCAGCAGGCGAGGCGAGATCTTGTAGACAATTGCCACCACTTGCGATCACTTGTGATCACTTGCCCATGCCAGCTGGACAGTGTGCTGTGGTGGGCTGTGGTATGCTGTGGTGTCCTGATGTTTGCTGCTCATGATACAGTGCCACAGTTCTTCTCAATCGGCAGGTGCCCAGAGTAAGACCAACAAATCTCCTGGTCTTCGTGAATATCAAATCTTTCAAAGGAGCAGTGACTGAACATCGGCGCTGCACTGTTGTGAGTTCAGTGGAATCTGAGAGTCAAGCCGTCACTAATTTTGCCGACAGGGTGCCTTCATCTGGTCACACATTGATAGTCTTAGAGTATCTTGGAGTCTTGAAGCTTCTTAGGATGCTGGAGCGAGGGATTTGGCCTAATGTGGCCTCCTTCTCAGGCTGTTTTGCACCACAGTTGAAAGGGAAACAGAATATTTGGAATTCATTTGGAAATGATGTGGGGCTTGAAACAAGCAGTGACTACTGTTTTTTAGATACCAAAGGCGTGCGCAAGGCATGTCTAAGGTAACCTACAACTACCTGTTGCAATCGATGAAGCGTTCTCAGCCCAAGATGGAGAGGTGGCAGATGCTGCGGGTGGGGTGTGCTGACCGCTATCCCCAATCCCTGAAAGTAGTACTGTCAGGCTGTTAACCGTTAGAGTACTGTCAGAGGGGCACATGCGGCATATGTGTAGGA